CTATCGTTGGTTTTGACGGGACCCACCTTAAAGGGGAAATGAACAAGAGAGGCGTTTTCCTCGTTGCTACTTCCAAAGACTTCAACAATCACGTCGTCCCTTTTGCAATGGCACTGGTCCCAGTCGAAAATTATGAGAATTGGCACTGGTTTTTATCAACTGTGAAAATTGCAACGAACTTTGCTAAGTTTACAGCAATTTCCGACCGCCAGAAGGGTCTTTTGGCTTCTGTGGCTGAAGTTTTCCCTGATGCTGGGCATCGGTTCTGCCTGCGGCATATCATGGATAATATCAATCGCCAGGGAGCTAGGCTGTCAATTGACGATAGGCGTATCATTTGTCAAATGGCACGCAGCGATTGCGAGAATGACTACAATTTGTTCCGCAACGAACTCGCCGTTTCTAAACCAGGCGCAGCCGAATACCTCGACAAAATTGACGGAAAACACTGGGTCAAGTACAAATTTCAGGAAGCCTTCGGTCTGCCCACCTTTAACGAAATTACGTCCAACCTGTCCGAACAAGCCAATCAGTGGATGGGAAAGGAGATTCGCAGTGCTAAGCCACAGAGTGCTTTTCACCTGTACTTCCAGAAATTAAGTGAATTGACTTCCGAGAAGCGCCAAATGGCTGCTAATTGGGCGCGCAACAACGCCGAATCGGGTTTGGTACCTGTTTTGAGAGCGCAGATCAGGGACAGATCGGCTGCCGCCGCAATGTGCAAATTTGTTCCTCTAATGGAAGGTGCTTACTCAGTCCAGCATCTTGGACCTCAAAATCAACAAGGGCACATACACACTTGGAGGTTGGTTGATCTTCCAGCCAAACAGTGCACCTGCGGCAACTGGCAGGACCAAGTATTTCCCTGCATCCACTCAATCTGTGCTGCTATACAAGACGGGTGTCGCCTGGATGAACTTTACGAAGCGGACAAGATGTCGATCAAGTCTTTCAGTACAACCTACAATTTTCACTTTCGACCATGGCCAAAAGACGTGACATTGGCGACAGACACTACCCTTCTGGTCCCCCTACTTCAGATAGACGAAGAACGAAAAGGAAAACGAGGTTTGAAGCCAGGCCCAAAGCCGAAGCACAAACGTCGACGTGCTCGAAACGCTCTTTAAACCGAGCCGTCACCGCGATACTTGAGATTTCATTTTTCATATTTCCAAATATTGCTCTAACACCGCTAATATATTCCTCATATTAAGGATATTTTGACCACGTTTCAATACAAAAAAAAAAAAAATTCAATCCGATAGTTTTGTAGTCGTTTGTTTAAAATGTCAATTCCCTAAAAACGACGGAAGTATTTACAGAATTGAAGGGCAAGTTAAATCTCTCCTGGATCGCTTCGAAAGTAGCGTCCAGATTACGTCTTGTATATATCAAATTCAAATCTCGAACTTAAAAACTATTTTTTTCAAATTGTTCATTTCCTAAAAATTGACGTGGTTTTTTTATTTTCTTTCATAATATTAGATTTCTGACGGTCTTGAGGATTTATGATGCGCACAACAGTAGTCACTTTACAATTTGCACGATGCCGCCCCACAACAAGCGCAAGAAACACGCCAAGAACTTCAACCGCAAGGTAGATGGCTCCTTCTATCAGCTGAAGAAAAACACCAACCTCCCACTTAAACAACCCAACAACGAAGAAATAAGAACAAGTAACATGGAAGTCCAGCGAGGCACGGGTCTTTTTAGTGGCAACCGAGCTCGACGAGGACGTAGTGAGGAGGTCTACGAAATTGAGAGGCTGTACGCGAAGCGATGGGTTCATAACTTAGAATTCTATCTAGTCCAATGGATTGACTACAGAGAACTAACATGGGAACCAGCGAAAAATTTACCCTGGAAGATGAAGATCGACTTTGAACTGGAGACAATCGACTTCGTGTGGCTGTACCAGCCAACAAGAGGCAGACGGCGCCCCAAGCAGCCTATGCGACGCAGTCAACGAGTAGTACAGCGAGTCTAGATATTTTCTAAATCGCAATGTAACACCATAATTTCAAAATAGTAAGTTCGCATACCGCACTTAGTATGTACTGTTAACAGTACAATTAATTATGTGTCGATCTTTCCAAAATCCAGTACCTTAGTACTGGATTATGGAAATTCCTCCCAGTGGAACTGGGCCACCTGGCCCAGGTGGTCTCAAGTCTCAGCGCACAGCAGGCCTCATCGGCAAAGGAACCAAACCGCACAATCGCCTAAAA